TTTGATCTCATTTACATCACTTACTTACATCTAAAGATATCAGAACACGAATCGGTTCGATTCACTGCTTCTAAAGCATTGTGTAATATGGAGTATACAATTTGTGGTACTAAGGTCTAACTATATATATCTTCATATGCTGAATTTATTTCACCTTGGTTTTATAAGTTCCCTCAGCAGGATTTAGAACTGGCCATTAGCATATTTGCAAGATGGAACTATAGTCCACCCTAGGTAAAAAATCTCTTCCGGAAAATAGTTGAGTGAAATCCAATGCCACCGCTAGGCCTACTTGCATCGATGTGAGAAGACTTCAATGACAACTCTTGAATCATCTTGCGCAATTTAGGATAATTAAGTTTTCCCAAGAATAACCTCTAGTTTATAAGCCTTTTCATAGTGACTATAAACCTTTTGTTTGTATGCCAGCTATATTGCTTTTCCGTCATTAAATATATTGATCTTGTCTGGAATTCGTTTGTATATTCAGAATTTGTAAGCTTAGTTCTAATTTCCTCATTGTGTTTTTGGGTAATCGTTATTTTCTATGTGCATAGATAATTGTTTTTTTATCGCTAAATCTTTATGCTAGACCCATTTCAAGAAGCAACATCGGCGTATTGTCTCTGCCACCACACCATTTGGAGCCGGTTTATACAAAATGCCATTTGAATTGCAGCAAAAGCACCAGAATACGATGCATACACAAGGTCACCATCCTGGACAGCTTCAATATCAAAACAATATTCAAACTCATATTCATTCGAATCACTGCCAGCAGACTCGTCCTTCGCAACCGTCAACTGCCGGGGTAGGATATCCATGTTTATCTTCTCCATCTGCACTTGCTTTTCGCAAACACAAACGGAATAGCAGTGACCCAACTGGTGGATATGGCAGAAGATCTTGCAATGGCGATGGTACTAGCGGCTTCTTAGATCTTTTTCTTAATGCTTGTCTGGATTTAAAGCCCGTCCCTTCTTCTTGGATCAGTCCGCCCTCTTCTGTCGTCAATGCTTCATCATCACTACCCGTTGACCATAGTGAATCGCGTTCCCCCACTTTTCGAAAACCTTCGATTTGCCATGCGAAGCAGACAAAAAATGACGATGTTCTTCCCGAGTCTCCTGGCTCTTGGCAACTCCGTAGTGCAAATGTGGAAACGCCTGGTGGCTGGTACTCCAAGTTACCTGGGGTTGATCTGATATCTAGCAGTCGAATTGATAAAGGTGTAGCTACATCCATCCCTGTCGAGGAGCAGGTTAGGGAAGATAAGTTGGAGGAAGACGGCAAGCAACAGCTATCTGAGGAAAGTACAGATTTCGTCAGAAGATCTGGTGGTTCTAACATTTGCGAAGTTCCTCCCGAAGTTTCCATCATAGAACCTGCCTCTACAGCCTGTCTAATTTCCTGTCTCCAACCATTTGCCAGTCCTTTATTGGTTCTTGTCAGTCTTTGTGCTATGGTTTTTACTCAATCGATGGTTGTCTCTGGCTATCTTAGCAGCATTTATACTACTCTTGAGAGACGCTATGGCCTATCTAGTCGACAAATAGGTATGATATCAAGTTCATATGAAGTAAGTTCTACCTCTTACGTAAGCTTCACTTTTATTCCTATAATAAATTTTCCTTCTAATCGATAGTAATTGGTTCTATTTTACATATGCTAATTCATCACTCTTCGCTTATATT